TGATAAAAGCCATCTATAAAAAACCAACAGCCAATATCATACTAAATGGTCAAAAACTGAAATCCTTCACACTAAATCAGGAACAAGACAAGGATGTCCACCATCACCACTCCTGTTCAATATAATTTTGGAAACAGCCACCTCAATTAGACAAGAGAAAGAAATAAAAGGAATAAAGATAGGAAATGAAGAAGTCAAATTGTCATTATTTGTAGAAGACATGATGCTCTATATAGAAGACCCCAAGAATGCCACCAAAAGTCTTCTAGACTTAATAACCAAATTCAGTAGAGTATCTGGATACAAGGTCAACAAACAAAAATCAATAACTTTCCTCTACACGAACAAGAGATTCACTGAGGCAGAAATAGGGCAAACAATTCCTTTCACAATAGCATCCAAAAAACTAAAATATACAAGAATGAAAAAAATCAAAGACTTCTTCTCTGAAAACTATAGCACTCTCAAAAGAGAGATTGAGGATGATATCAGAAAATGGAAAGACATCCCCTGCTCCTGGGTAGGAAGGATCAACATAGTGAAAATGGTCATACTTCCAAAACTGCTATATAGATTCAATGCAATCCCAATTGACATCCCAGCAGTAAACTTCACAGACCTTGAGAAAACAATACAAAAATTCATTTGGAACAAGAAGGGACCCGCTAAAGCAATTGTAGGTGTCAGAGACATGGCAGGGGGTATCACAATCCCCAACTTGAAACTATACTGCCAAGCTACTGTGATAAAAACAGCATGGTACTGCCAAAGAAACAGACCTAAGGACCAGTGGAACAGATTAGAAGATGTAGAAACAACTCCACACAGTCAGCCATCTCATCTTGGATAAAGGAGCCAAACACCTTCACTGGAGGAAAGATAGCCTCTTTAATAAATGGTGCTGGAAAAATTGGGTTTCCACTTCCCAAAGATTAAAACTAGACCTATATCACTCACCATGCACTAAACTAAAATCAAAATAGATTAAAGATCTAAATATTAAAATAGAAACTCTGAACCAGTTGGAACAGAGATTAGGTAGAACCCTTGAAGACATTGGTGTAGGAAAATATTTTATGAACAAAACCTCAGTTGCCCATGAACTAGCACAAACAATCAACAAATGGGATCTCTTTTTATTAAACAGCTTCTGCACAGCAAGAGAAACCACCAGCAGTGTGAAGAGACAACCCACAATGTGGGAAAAAATC